AGAGCGGAGCCAAACCACACTTTTGGGATAACAAGCTGACGAGGGCTGGATTAGCATCTCTTAAATCTTTCACAGCACCAAGCAGGAGGAACTTCTAACACAGGCAAATCCCTCAGGCTACAATGGAGGTCGTGTGAACTGGCCAAGGCTTTATGCTGCACTCGAGCTCTGGAGCCCATCAGAACAAAACGAGCCGCGAACTTAAAACAATTTCTTCCTGTTTGCTAGTGAGTGGCAGGAGGAGGGAGAGCTTGTGTTTGTTGAAGCAAACACTGAGGGACCACGCTGGACAGGGAATCCCCTTTTCCTCCGTAAAGAATCCTTCCCATGACAAATTAGCTGTAATGTGATGCAATTAGCAGCAATTAGCTGGGTTTTTTTTTCCCCTTTCCAAGCCCTGGTGGACTTGGACACAGCCATTGTTGGTGCTTTGGGGAGCTATTCTGGTTGCCCAAATACTCGGAGCAGGATGTTTGTATTACAAGTCTCCATGCCAGTTGAAACACTTACTTTGCTGATGGGATTCACATCCCTGTTTGAACTCCCTTCATATGGTAGTTTGTGTGCTCAGATGTCCCGGGGCTGAAGAACTTCAGAGAAGAGAAGAGTAAGAAAAAACGCTGCTCTGCTGCTTGTAATTTTAGAGATGAAAAGTTAGAGCCTGAAGAGTTAGAGAGTGAAACTGATTGATCCTAACTGATGTTGACCATTACAATCTGTTCTGGCCAGTGTCTTTCAGATCAAGGACCTGAGATGAATGCCACCTTTTTTGGTCTAATTTTCATCATTTTGCTGGGAACCCAAATGGACAAAATTGCGCTGCAGTTCAGCCCGTTGCCAGCGTTAGTTGCTTTAGGTATCAAGACCGTTCTATCTGCAAACTCCTGCATTGACTAGAGGCCAAAGTCTCTTGCCAAGCAGCAGCTTTGGGTCCTGCTGAATGCCCTACATCCACCTACACGTGGGTATCTAGCAGTACGAGTGCCACCTGCTGACACTGGGGATTACATAGCATTGGCTATATGTCAGTCCCTACCTCTGCTGAAGCCACCTCGCCATGCAGAGGCATCAGGGGTGCTCGTGCCTGGCTGGGGCTCAGGGACACTCGTGTCCCTAGCACTTCAGTCCCAAGGACAAGTCAAAACGCACTTCAGCTGGATGGTTTTGAGCACACGCCAGTGATGATCTGCTGGATCAGAGCTAAATAGGAGATGGGGGATGAGTTAAGTGTTGGGGATGGGAAGGGAACAAGAGGAGGAAGTCTCTGCTTAAAATGGAAAATATTTTATGATCCCGTCTTCCCAGGCCAGCATCCTCTTGGACACGCATTGCACAAACCCTCGTTGTCTTCCTATAGCCTTTATAGATTGACCTTCTGGAGGGAAAAGGGCAGCATTAAATCTCCAGCCCGTTTCGGCCGAGACCTCAATCTGGTCTTTGCAGCGCTCTTGGCAGCCGGGGCCACTTCTTGGTGTTCAGATGCTGGGAAAAGGCCAAGCGATGGGGAGGAAACCTCCCCGCAGCCCAGCACGCGGCCAACACGCAGCAGCCGAAGCCGCCCCGCGCCCATTCATCCTCCTATAAATTATGAGAGGAGAGACCCTCCCTGTCCGGCACCCTGGAGAGGCACCTTCCCCACATCATTTACTCCCTGAAAAGAGAAAAATACATGACATGGAGCTCCTTGCCTCCCCTTGAGTGACTCAAGCGAGTACTACTTATTTTATCCAGTAGTCTTTTCCTGGCTACAAGCAGCTTTCAGGAAGCTGTCTGTAAAAAAAAAAACGACACTCGGTCTTTTTTCTTTCTCTCTCTTTTTTTATACTGCTTTTACTCGCAGTGCATTCATACCATCTTAATCATTAACCAAGCTGCCTGACTAGGCTTGATACAATTACAAAGTGATGTCTGTCCCGGCCCTACCAACGTGGCTAGTTGGTAGGAAGCCATAAAAATAAGCCCATAAATAATCCAGCACTCCGAGCCCTTTGGCTGTGTTATTTCCCAGAATTCAGGGACCGTTAATGGCTGGTCCAAGCCTTGTCCTAAGCAGAATTTCGAGTAATTTCCCCCAATTATTACCTTTTTCTTTCATTGCGTTTACAACATTTTCTGCAGAAAAGCTCTGTCATGCCATGCAGGCTTTCATGTTTTGCAGGGTGTTCATGCATACACTGCCCAAGGATTGGCCCTCGAAGGCTCAGATTAAACCATTTTAATCCTGATTCTGAGAATCTTCCAGGTAGTGATTGTAGCAAGACATGGATGTACTTTCAGTGTGAACATTACAGATACAGGTTATTTGAACTTGCTTAAATTATCGCTTCTCCTAAAGACTTCAAACTAGCTAGAAAATGGCCCCTGAATACCCAGCACGGACACTTATCGCCTCAAAATCACCTATCAAAATCCCTCTGTTCTGCTTTTGCACCTCTTCCCGACCTCCGTTCCATTGGTTGCATTTCCAGAAAAGAAAGAATTCAAGTGTGTTATTTACAAAAAAAAAGTTGGAAGATATCTACTCAAAACCACAGCGCAGAGTGCATGCCTAATCCTTTGCAAACAGCATGCACAGAATCCAGCTATGTGCACAGAGCTATTTCAGATTACACTTCTGGTGCACAGACGGCAAACACACCTCTGCTGCGAGACGCAGCAGAGCCCTCGGTACCTCCAACAGCCCTGTCCCACCTCCCTGCCACCCGAGTTTCTCTGCTGGCCCCAAAACACTGTCCTTAAGAGCTTGGTTATTTGGCCCTTTCCCCGGTTGCCTTTCAGCAGAGACACCCAAGTGACATTTCAGAGCAAACAGGAGCCAGGCAGGAGAGCGCGCGACTTTCCTGGCAGCGGCTCGGGATGCAGCTGGCAGGGAGCAGCGCGCGGCGCCGCACGGCACGTCCCCGGCCCCCCTCTCTATCCGAGTCACTTACAAACTTCATCCTTCCCCGACACTCAGGTGAAAAGGCATTTTTCGGTGCAATGGCTTGAAAGCAAAAAAACAAGCAGAGCCTGAACTAAGCTGCTCCTCAGAGCCCCGCACAATACAGCTGCCAGCTTGCACCTAGAGGGTGCAACGCTTTAAGGGGGACCAAATTCCAAGGAGTTACAGTTTTTCTAACTTCAGCAAAATCCAGGCACACAGTGTAACAGGAAACATCCCCACCGGAGCATCCATCTCCTCGGTGTAACTCACTGAACGCATTGCTTTATTTTGTCTCTGCTAGAGGGCACAGCTGCGTGCTCGCTGCGGTGACACACGGCTGCCAGCAGTGCCAGTGCGTGGGGACACCACTACAAAGCAACTATTGCAGGAAAGGGGGAAGACCCCAAAATGTACCCGCTGCCCGCTGCGCTCCCTGGGCAGGGAGAGGCCAGGGCACACAGCTAGTGGCAGCACGGTGGCCCTGGCTATGCAGCATTTTTGCAAGATCTGCACAATTTTGCAAGGTTTGCAAGGCTGATGAATCCCTACAGAGCAAAACTCTTCTGTGGGTAAATCTGCTGGGATGGGGAGATACCACAGAGGGAAAGGAGCCGTTCAACCAGAGAGCTGGCACACCAGCAAAAGGCAGTGAAAGGAATGTGGTTGGGAAGTGAAGAGCTCTGCAAGCGTGAGTGCAGCCAGCTCGCCGAGCCCTCCTGCAGCTCACGAGCACACGCGGCAGCTTGGAGACACTTGGACCCTGAAGCCCAAATGAAAGGCACTCAAGTCCCGCTCCTGTCTCTCTGGCCTAGTCCCCGTTTTATCATTCTCCTTTCCTAAACATCCAGCCGCAGCTCCTTCATCCTCACTTGGACTATCAAACAGCAGCAACTAAGAAGTTCTTTGCAGAGCCTGATTGTGTCCTCACAAGGGGGCAATCATTAAGAAAACTAAAAAGCAGATACTAGTCATAGCTGCAGCTGCTTGTGGAGGACGCTCTGGGAAAAGAAACACTCTTTGCCCTCATGTCCTGCTAAAATACCCCTGTGCCCAGAGAAAGAGACTTCTCCAGTGTCCCATGCGGGGACCAGCCATGAAGAAGGGTCCAGCGAGAGCCAGGCTGGCACTCCTGGCCCTTGCCGAGTTGTGAGAGCCCACGAGACCCTCCAACATGTGGAGAACGGGGCAAACACGTGGCTGGGCAGGGCACGGAAAACCCAGCTACCCCTTTGTATGCACTGATGCTACTTAAAGAAGTAGCTGGTCCCCATCCCAGTGAGGAGCTGGCAAGAGGCCATTGAGCAAAGCCCGCAGAGGAAAAAGTCTAATTCTCTAATGCAGTCCTCTAATGTTCTGCAAATTAGCAAGGGCTGCCAAATAAAACAGGAGACGTAAAACACTGGCACAAACGGGGAGGGGAAAAAAATAGGTGAACTTTTGATTTACATGCTGGATGAGAACTTCTCCCTCGAGACGCCTTTCATCTAAGGCTTTTAACAATTTGTCTCATCAAGTGAAGACAACAATAATGGTGCTCGTTGTTTCTTTTTGGTTTCTCTCTGCCTTCCTGCATACAGCTCTGCAAACTTTGCTCAGGCTGCCTGGCTGCGACGCTGCCAGCAAGGCTTTGTATGTGAAGCTCAAAGCGTCCCTGTGTCCCTCTCCCGATGGCTTCATCCTCCCGTGAAACTCGCATTTTTTAAAAAAGGACAAACCCTAACAGGCACCAACCTGGTCACAGCTTGAGCCACGGCTCCAGGTCTCTGGGATAAGGACAGGACACTGCACCATGATAACTACAGGAGGACGAGGGATGGGTGGGTGAGCAGGAAAGAGAGCAAAGAGTCCGCCCTGGGAAAGCCATAGGAATTTTGAACAAGACACAGGCATATATCTAAAGGGAAACCAAGGCAAACCTATCCACAGCTAATGGCACAACAAGTTGTTTAAGTGTCCCCTTTGAGCACCAGTGCTTGAAGGGACGGGTAGCAGACAGCAAGTGCCTCAGTAATGCAGAGCACGAGTCAGGATTTGGGTCGGAATGGATTTTCTCGCTGCCTCTTTGGGACTTGCTTACCTGGCCAAGATGCACATCGAGACGCTCGGCTCCCTGTGAGCCGCTTTTGCCTCTTCTATCAGCGAAGCCGGGGAGCTCTGCAGCGGTTCAGCGGTGGCTGCTGCGGCCTGAGCTTGTTGCTGAGCTCAGCTGGAGCCTAACCACTGCAAGGAGGGGAGAGAGGAAGTAGTTAAAAAAAATAGTCCTGGGACAGTATTTTTACAAATATTTCATCAGGTTTTGTAGGAAAACACAAAGGGAAGAGAGAGAAGACCGACAACATGCCCTGGGCCAGAGGCAGGGATTGCTAGCATGCACCACACGTTCCTCTAGCCGCTTCCAACAGGATTTTGGAACAGCTCAGGAGTCCTAGGAAGGCCAAAGAGGTGTTTGAATGCAAGCGAGGACACACTTGCCTCAGTACCTTGGCATTTTTTGATGTCCTTTCTCAGGGCACAGGGAAAGGAGTCAATGTTCCTCCATGATATCTTAACTCACATGGGTGAATGGCTCTCTATTTTTTTTCTGTTTCTTTGCTTTTGCAGCAGAGCTAATACAAGTACTAACTTAAATGGAAGCTTTCTTGGAGCAAGGGGACTGTCTCTTTGCCCTTCCAATATTTAACACATGGGTTTCTGTACCAGCTCCAAGGTGCTCCAGGACTGCCCCCCAAACAGCAGCTCCTCTTCCAGGACACAGCCACAGGCAATGAGTGAAATTATACCCAAGGCTAAACACAGTTTAAGAAAAGCCCAAAGAAGAAGCCAGCTTTGCTAACAGTTTTCTAACACTCTCCTTTGCTAAATACAGCACAGGGGAGCAACGTGTGTTTCTAGCATAGTTCGCTGTCCAGAACCAGCAATTAAACCCGTTATTTTGGCATTAGTGACTGCAGAGATGAGGAACCCAAGACGTTTATCTCCATGCTTGCACTATCACTGCAGTCTTACCTTAGCTTTGAGGATGCTGCTTAGGTCTCCCAAGCCTGCATTATTCTAGAAAGCAGCTGGAAGCTCCTGGGCCAGGCAGATGCTTTTGGATGCAGCTCACAGAGCTCCTTAGGAAGCCCTGAGCTAACACCCAGCCCCTCTCAGCAGTTTAGAAACAGGAGACATTTTGCTGAACACAGGCAGCTCTGCCCAAGCCAGTGAAGAGAACACAGCTTCTCCCAGCAAATTTCTCCCTTTTTAACCCAAACTGAGCTAACTCTGTCTAGAAGAAAGCCTCTCTGATAGCAACAACTTCTTGGCTACCCTACCAAGAGAAAAATAAAGAGCTCTCCCCACTTCAAACCATCCCCAGAAAGCCTCCAGAACAGCACAGCAACCTCCTCCAGACCTTCATAGCCCAAGCCAAAGCCCCCCACCCACCTACCCTTACACAACCCAGCTGTGAGCAGGCACCCAGGCCAGCCCCATCACCTCGTTACCCCTTGGGCAATGACCCCTAGGGCTTGCAGCTGTGGGAGGGCCCCATCTCAAAGCCCAGCTTGTTCCTGAGACACAGCCCCCTAAGCCCTTCTATGCTTTGGGGCCACAGGTTCATCTGCAAGTCTGGCAGCTGATGGGAGCACGTACCCCATTCACCTGTTTTGGTTTTTTGGCAATATGTGACTGCTGTGGAGCATGGGGGAGGGTGTTTTATCTCCCTCCTTAGCAAGACACCCTATTTTGCACCCTAAAAAGCCACCAGTGAGCAGCAGCTCTGCGCTGTCTGCCACAGTGCTGCTGTGATGGGCAGGCAAACACAGAAAGGAGCTTTTGAGTGCTCAGAGATGCATCAGTCCAAGGGGTTTCCTCAAGAGCAAATACTCAGCCCAGACCCTGCAGGCATCCCAGCACAAAACTCTTCTCCGTTTTAGCAGTTCTGGCCCCAGCACTGAAAGATGCTGGGTGGTTTTTGGCTTGCCTACAAGGAATAGCTTTCACCTGAATTTCACCTAAATTTGCTCATTCTCCTCTGCAGCCTAATGTGCGAAAAGCTGGAGATCTCCTTTTTCAGATGGGATTCTTCAGCATTTTCTTTAGCCTCTGAACCTCTCACATGATTGTGCTGGCATTGCAGTCAGAAAAGTTTAGTCATGGCGCGGGTCCCTCCAGCGCCAAGGACAGAGAGCAAAACAACCAAATCCGGACGGAGTAAATCCCAGCCCTGAGCCAGAGAGGCATGGCAAAAGGGGGGATTTTGGGCAAAGCATCCAGGAACGAGCTGCAGTTAAACCAAACCTCAATTTCCCAAGAAACCCTCAGCTTTCCAGCCAGCAAGTAGGAAAAAAAACCCACGCAGCAAGCGTGGGGCTGGGCCTTTGGGAAGAGGCGTGCGCCCTATCCAGCTCTTTCCCGAGGCACGTGAGAGCCGAGCTCTACCTCAGGGAAACGGGAAGGAGCCCTCCCTGCCCACACCGGGACACCTGGACACACCTGGACACCTCGTCCCACGCGGGGCCTCCTGGTGAGGTTGCGCCTCAGCTCTGGCTCTTCTGAAGAGATGAGTCAAACGTAGGGAAAAGCCTTTCTGTTACCGTAAAAAAGCCTGATTTTTAAATTAAAAAAAAAAAAAAGTTTTGCCTTTTTTCGCACTCATTCCTGTGGTTTTTAGGGGGGGTTGTGTTCAAGACTTCCTCGGAAACCAGGAGGACCAGGGACTTTCTGAGCCTTAGTGAGCTGGGGTTCGAGCACGCGCACTGCCTGCTCTGTGGTCCTCGTGGCCTCTGAGACTTTCACTCTTTTGCCTTCTTAGTCCTGAAACAAAAGAAAGGAGGTTAGTGGAGGAAAACATGTGGGAGAAAGAAACTTTTGGAGAGGTGGAGGCAAAGTCTTAATGGTGGAGTGAATGTGGAGACAACAAACAAGACCTTGGGTAGGTCAAACGGCTAAATAGTGGGGAACTGGAATTCAAGTCATTACTCCTTAATAGATGAGAACAGTCAGATTCATTGCAGTCAACATGAGGACAAACTCTGCCCATGGGCTCTGGCAAGGCAGACAGCAGCACAACTGATAGGTGGTTGTGGACAAGACACTGACAACATCAACATCTGTAGCTACTGCTAACAAAATAGAGTATCTAGCTCAACATCCTACCTCCATTGGCTAAGGAAAACACACGAGATCAAAGCCACGATAGCAGGACATTTAGTTTTCCTCCACTGTCACCCATCAACCGTTCTCCCTGCGTAGCAGAGATGGCTCCTTGGCTGTTCTCCACGATTTAAGAGCAGATGTCATCTAGGGTACAGTACAAATAACCCTGTAGATAAACCTCCAGCAAGTGACTTTCTGAGTTGCCACTTTCCATGTTTTCTTGCAAGAGGCCAAAGCTCGTAAGCAGCACGGTTGCCTCCTCCAAGGTGCTAGGCCCCAAGGTGAGGATCAGGCCAGGAGTGCTAAAAACACATCAGACACATTTGTTAGGCCCCCAGGAGCACGGGAATGACGTGAGCGGTGACTGTCTAATGGGCTGAGGTCGGGTGCCACAGAACAGTAGCTTCTTTTCAGGAAGGCTGAGTGATTTACTGGCAGTTACAGTCAAATTAAGGGAATTTTACAGGGTGTAAGTTCCCTGGTGGTTTGCCATGAGATCATGAGGTCATGGGATCTATGGCAAATAGTGTTCCTCTCCTTCCCCGGAGGGTTACGCAGGGCTGCAGCGGTGAGGGGCACACTGCAGATGCTACTCACTGCTCCTTGATTTCCCCCCTGAGATGGTCCTGTGCTGGGAATAACGTTTTGGGGTATTTCCAGTTTAGGAAAGCATTTCCGAGCTAGCATTTCCCTCTTCTGCAACATGTTCTGCTGTCTGCAGTACTTCTGATCTTCAGCAGATCTTCCCCTCTCGTTTGCACTCAGTGATGGCTGCTCAGAGGACAGCCCTGGTGAAACACGTTAAATGGAGATTAAAAGACAGTCAATGTCTATGCATCTCAAGGGCTTTTTTCCCCCCAACAGAAAATATTGGGAGTTGACTTCACAGCCTTCTCCTCCACACCAGATACACCATGCCAGCACAGCCCGTGGCCTTGTAATCAATGAGAGAAGAGTAACCAAGCTGGGTTCTGTTATGTGTCAAATACTGTTTATCTGAACAATAAGAGTCAACCTTTGCCCTTGCCTTCAACCTAAACAGAGAAAAGACATTAGTGAGGCATGATTCTTCCCCTGTGGGATATGTAGAGCAGGCACGGGAAGACGAGAGAAGAAAAACAAGGCCAGGCAGATCTTCTTGGTCCAGGTCATCTCAAGGTCTTTCTTAATCCTCAGTGTTGATATATACCAAAATAATCACCCCCAAAGTCCCTGGCAAAACCAGGGATCAAATTTGCGCTTCTTAAGCCCTGAACCAAAGACTGTTGCTTCCTTTGGAGTTGGCTGGTTTCAGTGTTAATGTTCCTGCCGTTTTTGGCTTTCAATTATCTCGACTGAATTCAAATATTTTCAAAAGAGAATCATCAAGCAATAACGTGGCCGCTGACAATCTTGTAATTGATCCCAAAAATCACTCGAATTACATGAAATGGAATCCTGTACATGAGTAATGTTGCATTTTATCACTTTTCGCTTCAGTATTTTTTCCAAACTGCTTTGTTTCTTTGCCTCAAATCGAACTCTTGCCACTGAAGTCCATGGAAAGAATAGATCAAAGCTGCTAGAGGAAACACTGTATGAGAACAAGGTATCTGAGTGCTTGCAGAAAAGCAAAATACATATGCTTCCAAAAAAAATCACCTCACATCTTCTGCCTGCCATTCCATTTTCCCTGCTTTTCTGGAGATCAAAGCTGCCAAGAACAGTCCTGAGGCAACAGCGCTCCTTACAGTGTTCCCAAATCAGCCCTTACACCTGCCTTTTTGCTGGTGATTGTTTTCTTCATAGTCAGGGTGAGCAATTACTGCCAACGCATGTGAAATGCTGCTTTCTATCACTTACTGGCTATTAAGTTTTTATGGCTTTGTTTTTAGCTGGGTAACACGTGTCATTTTAGCAAGTGATCACACATGGCTCTTAGGCAAGGAGAGCTGGTCCCGAGACACGGACGCAGACACAACCCATCGTACTGCAGGCTGAGGGATGGCAAACCACACAAGTGTGGGGATGGATGTGAATGACTACTGCAGCACAAGCAGAGACCTGAGAGCCAGGTAAGCCACGTGCCCAGAGCCCCCAGCCCAGGCCCTTGCAGCTTTACTTCGTTTCGGACACAGCAAGGCTGTTTTTTGCTAGCTCTTCAGTTCATTGCTCCTCTTCTGGGGAGATGCTCCTGCAGGGCCGAGCTGGGAGTGCCCAGCCTCGCAGGGCTCCCATCCGACGGCCAAGACCAAAGGCACAACAGCCGAAGGCTCCGCTCTGCGGTCCCAGCCCCAGGCAGAGTTTCACCACCAACACGAGGAAAGGGGGACTGTGACAAGGGTTTCCATCAACAGCCGTGACTCACCAAAACCTGGCTTCGATGCTAAGGGCTGGGCCCAGCTGGTGTCCCAGCAATGAGCCAGCCCCAAGGGACACTGTGTCTCGCGGTCCTTTCCTATTGCATTGGATTAATTATCACCCAGGCTTGCCCCAGGGCCGTTGGCGCTTGGCCAACCACCAGCATGGGCCTCCAAAGGCCACGGAGAGCAGGAAAGCAGGGAAGTGCTCTTTCCCTCGACAGGGAAGCAAAAATCACTGGAACCAGCCCGGCAAAGGATGTGGCTTCCAGGCAGTGGGACTGCAAAGCACATGAAGATCCGTCCACCCATTGATTTGGTGACGTGCAGAGCTCCAGAAGGAGCTCCAGAAAGCTAGGGGGTAAGATGAGAGCACTGTAAGCTTGGGGATCAGGGCTGTTTGGAGGTGGGACGTGCACACTTGGCCCAAAGCAGGCTCTAGCCGGCCGCTTTGATTTCTCCTTGGATGCATTAACGTGCAGGGCGGAAATATCTGGCGTTCAGCTGGGACAACATACAGTACAGCTGGGGACCCCAGAGGAATCTGAGGTTTTCTAATCTTCTTAAGTACTTCCTTTATATTTTTTTTTCCTAAAAAGTGTTTCTTTTCCCATGGAGAGATATTAACTTCATGATGTAATGACTGTGAAGAGGGCTGTACTGTAAGTAAAGTGGGCTGTGCAGCCACAGAACTACAAAAACCTATGGGAAAAATATCTTTGTTCATTAAAAATAGCCTATTTTCATT